AAGCTAGCCTGTGTCAAAAAATTTGGGTAAGACTTAGTGTTTTGTGGTGAAATCTTGAGTAAGATTTATTCAACTGAAGTAAGATATAGATTAATTCAATGTAAGATATAGTATGTGCAGAAAAATGCACTACACACGACCCAAATACATTGCAAAGAAGCACCCAACAGAATGAATCTATCTGTCAAGAGCAAAGCTTTGACAAAACATCCTGAGCGAATGAATTCATTAGCCTAATAATTAGTGATGTCAGTTGAAATTATCCGTTCAACTTCTTAATAAACTAGACAAAACCCTTCCTAGGAAACCGTTTACCTTCAAATATGTTAAAAATCTTTCACTACTCTTATCATTTATACTTTGACCAACCATAAGGCATGTAATGAACCGACTCCAATACTGATTGAGGCACGTTCAAACTCCAAAGCACCAATTGATAACAGTAACGATTTTTCTATAAAAATTTTGACATTTAAGTTACAAGAACATTAGCTCACGATAAGACTCAGCCACCCACTGCCTAGCTCAGTTGGCAGTGACAGTATAATAAATTTACAACTAAGAGTCAACTAAGCTTCTGGTCAACCCAATCAACCAAATGGAAATCATGGCAGAAGTAAACACAAAAACTCAGATGCAGGACAAGGTAAAACAGAGAACATAAGAGCAGAAACTTACTTCACGAGGAAGAGCACGCATAATGGTGAGGGTAGTCATGTCAAGTACCACTCGAGTTCCAGAAGTTAGCTTTTCTTTGTCCACTTTGCTACGACAACCAACCACATACCTTGGTCCACTGCTAGCTTTCACAATTACTGGCACACATAAACACATTACTCAGTCAACCAAGGAAAAAGTTGAGGGAAAAAAGGGTTGTTCATGTTATATGTACACGTACAAATACAAATTACAACACTTGGATAAACAGCGTAATATCACTGATATGAAGCAAAGAGGAAATTGAAAAAGATAGAACAAAAGCATTTTGTATTAAAGATCTCATCATAGCTGGATAAAAAAAAAAAAAAGCCTGCAACAAAGACCTGACACACCATAGTGGAAGTCCAAGCAACAAAAGTAACATAACTCTAATCCTGCTACTAATGGAAGAGATTTTCAATTTTCTTTATAAAAAAAAGGGATAGTGGCAGAAGACCAACAAATCCTAGGTACCGTAAGGTAAAAAACCAACAACATGAATTTAGAGGAAAAAAAGACAAGAGATCAAGAAATCATTTACATCTCTCATTGTCAAGAGGCCTTAGGACTTCTCCAATAATCTGCCCAACACTCTGGAGTGACTTTAGATCATCCTCTGTTTTAGCGTAGTCCTTTTTGGCACTTCGCAGCTCTTCCTTCACTGGAAATATAGAAATTTAATACATTAGCAGCAGCCTTTAAAAAAAAAAAAAAAAGGAACACACCACAACAAAAGGACAACACAAATGATCCACTACCATATACAGCAAAATATTAAGTTACATAAATACCAAGCAACCATTCTCAATTCAAAAAAATAAAGTACACACAACTAACCCTCCTCCGACCTCAATGGAATTGTTGGTATTTTATAGTGATAAACCAAAACTCTTTACCACAATTCGGCATCTTCCATTCCTAGAACAACTGCCACAACTGATGAAAATAGTTGTTTTTCCATATACCTTGTTTAGCTATTTAAATACCGCTAGTTTATATTTCAAGGTTTCAACACAAAACCTAGATGACAATTTTGTAGACTGAAACAACCATCACTACTAAAAACTTATGGGTTTTCAATATTGCTTTCACTCTCTTTATTAATCTTTGGTCTGAATTTCTGTTTTCAACGCAAACTTGAAGTGCAATTTTTTAACAGTGTCAAAGGCAAAACAATTTATTGAGAACAAATTCGCACAAAAACAAGAACAAAAAAAAGGTGGAAAGCATTGAGAACGAATTGGCCATTCACTTGAGGCTTACTAAAGCTCCATTAATGAATAAATGTTGATTGACCAAAAAACTAGTTCGGCACAGGTTACAAAGTTGGATTTTGAAATGGCTCTTGTCTTTACCAGGTGCATTCCGAACAAACAACCATGTGTCCAGATTACAAACATCACTCATATGGATGTAGATAAACTACTCACAACACATCCTCCATTTATCCTTTTCTAATGCCTAAATATAAATTCCAAATGAAGCACCTAAATTGATATTTTCTTAAACTTTAGAATTTGAGGTTACTAAAACAGAAGCTAAGAGGAAAAGAAAAGCACGATGCTTCTTCAGCAGCATTAAGATCATTCACTTAAGGTTAATTTAAGTGCTGCTAGTCCATCACTGCCTCATTGCAACTTGACCATAGCTTAGCTCAGAGTTAGCAACAAGTAGCCTTCTGTTAGAAACTTTAGAGAGGTTATAATCACAAATTCGCAACAAGTTCATATTAATCCAACAATTTGAGATACAAACCCTAGCACGAGCTATACTTTATCAATAATTTATCAATAAACTCAAAATTTGGCTTAACATTCTTCGAAATTAACGTTTTTCTCGAGGCTACGATCATTCTATTGAGGCTAAGCGTTGCTTGTGCATCACTGCGTCTATGCATCTTGACCACAGAGTTCACAACAAGCAGCCTTCTTGATAGACATGTTCTAATCGCAAATTCGCAGCACAAACCCTAGCACGAGCAAAAATTTCTCAATAAACTCAAAAAGTTGGCTTAAAATTCTTCGAAAACTAACGTTTCCAGTTACATGCACTAGAATCTTCAGATCAGATACGAAATTACAGCCAGAAATCGCAAAAACGAATAGCGAAACAATTTTCCACAAATTTTCAAACATATAAACGAAAATCGAAAATCAAACTCAAACATATCAAAATCCACTTCGATTACACTGGATGTTGATTTCTTACAACTCAATTAACTAATTCGACTATCTCGGAGCTAAATTAGATATAAATTCATGCAAATTGGATATTCTAAACTTCAAAACAAACTAAAAGCAGATTCAAAACCCTTAAATTCAATAATCTAGAAATTAATGAAGAAAAAAAGGCCGAAATTAGGGATTTAGAATGAAAAACCTTTTCTGCTTCGAGATTCAAACTCGCGATGTTGAAGGAGCTTCTTATTGTATTCGGCAACAGCGGCCTTACGCTTAACCTCTTCTTCGGTCGACATTAGAGAGAGCTCTGCAGAATAGTGCAGATGATCTCCGATGAGAGAGGAGAGAGGAAGAGAGAGAAGTTTTTGAGACTTGTACAGAGAGTAAGGAAGGACTTCCGATGTGTCACATACGTTATTCAACAAGATTATATACTGTACCCCGTAATTCCTCTTAGTAATTTAACAACCCCCTAACCTTATCATATTATTTCTCCGTAAAATTTTAACTACTTAATCCCTCCGTCCGAGTGTCGTAAAATTAGAGGTGATTAAAAATCGGGTCTGATCGGTCCTTAACATAATTCCTCGAGTCTAAACCCGCCAAAAAGTAGCGGAATTGTCGGGCCAAAGCGGGCTTTTGGGGTTTTTTTTCGGGCCGGGTTTGGATTTTTAATTTAAAAGTGTGTTTTTAGGTTTGCCCAAACCCGCCCTAATTTCGTGCTGGGCCAATGTTTATCACCTCTATTTTTTTTTTTAATAAAGTTGATCACCTCTACTTAAAACGTCTATATCTCTTTTTTTATACGCGTAAAAATTAAAAATACTTGATATTAATAAAATATACGGACAAATCCAACTGAATAATTACATTAATTTGATTAAAAATATATATATATATATATATATATATATATATATATATATATTCCATTTAGGGTGGGTTTGATCCACTTGATTTTTAACTTATTGGGATCTATTAGGACTTATTAGAATTTATTAAAATTTATTTAAGTTGTAATTTAAATTTGGACAACACTTAATGAATGAAAATAAGGTGAACTGAACAACCCTTAGTATTTACGAAGGTCATTATTTTAATTTTCAATACAAAAAAGGTAATTTATGTTAAAAAAGAATAGGTTTTATTAGTTTTTATAAGCATAAATATAATTATTAATTATCAAAGTTGTACTCATATATTGTATTTGACAAGAATAAAAGATAAAACTATGATGAAATTCAAAATTCACCACTCAATTTCCTCATCATGCTATTAAAGGTATGTATAATCAAAGATTCAAAGGTGTATTTTAAAAACCTTGTAAAGTGTTTGTGACAATTTATTTGGGACAAAAGCTGTAATAATCCGCAAAAACTCTTATATATAAATAATGAGAAACTTGGTTAAATAATGCTACAGGGAAATTGGATTTAATTTCACATAAAAAGTAAAAATTAATTCTGCCATATTGATGAGTGCAACATGTAGCTTTTTTTACTTTTTATGTTGTACTTCGTACAACGGTACAAGTATTAGTTAGTAGCCTAATTCATCATAATTGAATTCTTAACTTCTTAAGTATACTAAAATGGATATTTTCTCTCACTCTTTAATCTTTATTAATTGCATAATTAGAAATTTTCACATTAATCAATGTATAGTTTTACTTGCGAACTTTATACAGAGAATACACTAATGTTGTTACTTCTACAACAACATACAAAGTATATATATAGTACTACAACTCTAAAAGTATTAAGCAGTGCATGATCATTGCAAAATTATTTCTCTAATTTGAATTCTTACTTCTACAGTTTCATGTATGATTAACTTAATTCCAACAACACCTTGATAATTGTAGTTATATTCTAATAATTCCCCCTCCTTCCATTTGTTAATACATGCAACAAGCTGACACTATTATATACGGATTAAAAGTCTCGTTATCTGTATTGAGAAATGAAGAATTGGATTTCATGTTAAAGTTAGTATGTTTAGGAGTGAATTGAAGTCATGAAACACTTAAACCAATATACAAATAAAAAAGTTGTTTCTTGAACATTTTCATATTCCAAATGTAACATAGAGTAACTAGCCAAACTAGGTTGATACATAATACACAATTACTGAAATTGTTTGCTGAAAAAAAAAAGCTGGCAACAAAACCTAAAACTAATAGGAAAATATTGTGAAGTATTAGTAATATACTACTACTACAAATTATGAAAGAATAGAAATTAATTATTTACAAGGTACAGCTATGAAATTTACATACAATCTTCACTTAGCTCTTGATCAATCCTTTCCAAAGTCAGCACTATAACTAGCTTTTGTCTCTATTTTCTTCGCCTCGTTTACTTTCCTGACAGCCTGCAGAGCAAAGAAGTTAAGAAACATCATAAGAAATTCAAGCACAAGCTGCACAACCAAGTATTCTAACCATTCCACATTAAACTGTGACATTGAACAGAATCAAAATCGCTTATTTCACCATTTTAAGCCTTAACTCTTGCAATGTGCTTGTGAATGGCATAGAACCTACTGAGCCAAAAGGCCGAAATAGTGAATGTTCTGGGGGTTGGAAACTTGGGTGGAACCCAAATACTCAACATACAGGTGCAGATCATGATCTATAATGGTTTAGCTATGACAAATTATACCTTAATGAAATCTTCATGAATCACATAATCTCTCTGTGCACATATAGCTGACATGCCGGCTTCAGTACACACATTTCGTAGATCAGCCCCATTAAATCCCTGAAGAAAAATAAAGGCAACAGGACAGTTAGTATGAGTGCCATGTTAGATGTTGTGTAGAAAATGATATGCAAGTCTTTAAGCAATAGTTGCTCACCTCTGCTAGTTTAACAACAGCTTCATAGTCGATCTCACCGTACTTGGCCATGCCAGCAGCATGAATTTTAAGAATTTCCAATCTTGACTGTTCATTTGGCAATGGAATTTCAATCTTCTTGTCTATACGACCAGGCCGAAGAAGTGCAGGGTCCAACACGTCTGGTCTGTTTGTTGCCATGATAAATTTGACCTGCAGTTACCAAGCACTTAGTGGTCAATATTAGGTCGGTCCAAATTCCAAAACATCACGTTGCTCAACAGCAATGCATACAACATAACTGCCCCGTACTAAATTTCAGTCATAATACCTTGCCTAGTTGATCAAATCCATCAAGCTGATTCAGTAGCTCCAGCAGAGTTATCTGAATTTCACGATCAGAACTCGTACCCTCCTCACCTAGTCTATGACCTCCAATAGCATCAATCTCGTCCATAAAAATGATGCAGGGCTGAAAACAGGAGCAATGACTTTAAGAATCATTTGAAACAAGTACAACTTATATTGAAATAACCCATACATTATTATGCCACTGTCTTACTTGGTGCTCTCTAGCGTAATTAAACAGTTCACGAATCTGTCTTGCACTTTCACCAACGAGCTTTTCTATAATAGAACTCGCAACAGCCTAGAATAGCAAAAGAAAGCATATCATCACAATTATTACAAGCCAGAAAAATAAAAGAAACATCAATAAAAAAAAAATGTTGCAGTAGTTTTAATCTAACTGTATAAACTCTCATATACCTGTAAGAAATTGACTTTTATATTGCTTGCTATGGCTCGAGCTAACAATGTCTTGCCCGTCCCAGGAGGCCCATACAGAAGAACACCCTGAGCAGGATATAATGAAAAATAAAGATTTGATATTTTTAACAGATATCCACAGTAGGAACTAACATTTGAAACCAACCTAAAAAGAGCAAATCCAATTCAACAAAGATAAAAACAAGCCACACGCGTCATTACCTTTGGAGGCTTAACTCCCACCTTAATGAAAATCTCAGGATTCATTAATGGAAGCTCGATGCATTCTTTCAGCACTCGAATCTGATCAGATAGCCCTCCCAGAGCAGAATAGCTAATATCTCCAGAATCTTTGTGAATCATATTGTATACAACTGGACTCACCTGCATATACAATAAGTGAGATTTCCCAAAATAATAAGGGAAACATGATTATAGTCTCACAAGCTATCATAGCCAAATAAATCCTTGTATCATTCATTCATACGGAGTAATATTTATAGACAATTGTCACGTACTAAACTGTTGTACAAGATGTAAACCGATGCTGAGAAAAGGCATACATAACACAAATACTAATTAAGGCACACATTCTGTTCTGAGAAAAGTAGATGCATCTCAAGCATGAATCAAGGAATTGAATCAAATGTAGCCTTCAATATAATGACACTAACATTTGTTCTTTAAAGGAAAAAGATTACATACCCTCCGTAACAACTTAAATATTTCCACATTAATTCACTTCGATCCACAATTACCAACAAATATAAACAACTGAACTGAGGCACAGGTATAGAGCAGAAGAGATTAGAACTTACTTCACGAGGAAGAATGCCTAGAATAGTGAGGGTAGTCCTATCATGAACCACTCGTGTTCCAGAAATAAGTTTCTCCCTGTCCACTTTGTCATTACAACCGACGATTATTTTTACGTCGCTAACTTCCACACATACTGTCACATTCACATATGAAAACACATCAATCAGTGACAAATTTGATTGATTTTTTCCACTGCCAAATCAAACTATGTGATAAAAGAAAAGCATCGAAAAAAATAGTGTCTACGGTACAGTACACTTGGATATCAATATCATATAAGAACATACGAACTAACTAAACCCAAGTGTATAAAGAATTAAGAGACATAATAAGCACAAAAAATGCCAAGCAACCATTACAACAGATTTCATGTAACAGAATATTTCTTCCATTTATAATAATTAAAAATAATCAAATGTTATAAATTCATGTAAAATGTATGTTATTGAATACGAAATATTAGATTTGTATCATACAATATATGTAAACAAGATATTAACATTTAAAGTTGTGCGTGGACAAACACAACGATAAATTCAAGAAAAACAATAGAAAATTAACAAATTAAACAAATCCAGGGTGCAAGAAAACCGAATTAAACAAAGAAAAAGAAGAAGAAGAGATGAATTACTTCGCTCACTGTCAAGAAGCCTAATGACTTTTCCGACATGCTTCGCTTTGCTTTGTAAATATCTAAGATCATTCTTTGTTTTATTGTACTCTTTTTTGGCATTTTCCAGCTCCTCTTTAACTGAATATATTGAGTTCAAACAAATAACATTTAGCTTTTCAAGAATTCAACAAAAGATTATAGGTAATAAATTGACATTTAGAAAATACAAATTGAAAATGAATTAACTAAATCATATATGATTAAAAATTTAATTTAAAATTGAACTTCGACAACATGAATAGTAAGCAGGTTTAGAAAATCGAACGTTTTCTGTTGTATATTTTTTGTAAACGACGCTGACGGCGCCTCAAACGGAATCCTTCAATGACGAGTTCCCGATGTTCACGACGCAAGTCTTCTTCCGTCGACATTAGTTAGAATCTTGTACAATGTGATATTTGCTAATGTATATATTTGAAGAAGAAAATATTGTTAAATTTTGTATGTTTTTGTGAGAATGAAAAGAGATTCTATAACAGTGATGATAGTTAGCAAGAACTCTTAGCGGAGGGCACAAAGAATTCAAACAAAATAAGCGAGCGAACTTTTATTTCTCAAAATTGTAGTATGAGTTAGTTAGTTAGTTATATTTTGCCTTCGATTTCCTACTTGGAGGAAGTCAAAGCTGCTACAAATAGCAGTGTTTGTAGCAGTTTATTGCAGCACAGTACAACAATTACGGAGTATATTTAAGTAACTTACTCTACCTTAAAATTCAAACAATTAATTAATTAATAGGGTAATTATCACTTCTACACTCCAGCTTCTGGCTTTTATCTTTGGTACACCTTATCCATTATTCTTTAGCAGTGGTACACCTAAGGTTTTATACAGTCATCAGCGATGCACCTACCGTTTTCTTTTCGTTAAAAAAACATTAGTTTTGGCTTTTCGATTTTTTAACTTAAAAAAATAAATTAACTATTTCTCAAAAAAAAAAAAAAAAAAAAAAAAAAAAACCTTCTTTCTCCCTCATCTTCCTTTTCATGGACTTCCTTCAACCCCTTCCACCACCTAGGCCAACAACACTGTGGCGCCACCCCCACCACCACCACCACAAACCTCAAAACCTCCACAACTTGACAACCAACATACAACTCGACCCCCCAACCACGACCCTACAATTAGACCGCAAAACAGTCCTGCTTTCAATCGAGCCCCATTGCTTCCATTGCTTTAAAACAATCCTGCTTTCAATCGAGCCCCATTGTGGTGGGAAGGGTGGGGGTTTCGGGGTGTACCGACATTAATGGTGGGGGTTTCAGGGTGTATTGGCTTCAATGGATTGGGTTTCGGGGTGTACCGACATTAATGGTGGGGTTTCAGGGTGTATTGGCTTCAATGGATTGGGTTTCGAGGTGTATCATAGGGTGTAGGGTTCATGGGTAGGTGTTTCAGGGGGTTTCGGGTTCAAGGTTGGGTGTTTCAGGGGGTTTCGGGTTTTAGAGGTTGGGGTTTCAACAGGGTTGCCGGATTTGGTTACTTGTTGCTGGAATTTATGGTGGTGGAAGGGAAGAGGAAAGAGAAAGGAAGGAGGAAAGAGAAGGGGAGGGGTGGTCAGAGGGGGGTGGGATGTCTGGGTGGGCTGCCGGAAGTTATGGAGGAGGAGGAGGAAGGATGGAGGAAAGAGAAAGAAAGGAGGTAGGAAAAAAAAGGAAGAGGTGGTTTTTTTTTTAATTTAAGATTTAAAAATAATTAATTAATTATTTTTTTAAAAAAAAATTATTTTATTATTTGGACCAATCAGGTGCTTTTAGTGTCAGTTTTTAATTTTATTTTATTATTTTTATTTTCGAACCAATCACAAGCCGCCACATTACAGTTTTTAAAGTTAATAAATCGAAAAAAGTAAAACTAACGTTTTTTTAACGGAATGGAAACGGCAGGTGCATCGCTGATAACTGTGTGAAATCTTGGGTGTACCACTGATAAAGAATAATTGATGAGGTGTACCAAAGATAAAAGCCAAAAGCTGGAGTGTAGCAGTGATAATTACCCTAATTAATATATAGCTTATATACTGTACAACGCACGATTTTACCAAATATTATAAAGATTTATAATTATATGTAATTTAAATTGTTTTTACAATTTTTTCTTTTTTTTTTTTTTTTTTTTTTTTTTGACGAAAACCGAACCAAACAATTTTATTACTCAAAAGCAGAAGCTAAATCAGCCATTACAAAGGGTGAGATTTCACTAGGAACCTCTTCCATCCAAACTCTAAGATAAAATATAAAATATAGAATATTCTATACTTTATCTCAAAAGAAATTTTAAGTTGTACCCGTACGTCTTATGTAATATGTATGTATTTTAATTTTAAATTTAATACGAAGTATTATGATCTTCTTTATAATAACAATAATGTATGGTTAATTATCTCTAAGTAATAGCAAAAATAATTTATTGAATTTGGGAGTGAAAGATTGCATTACCATTCAAATTATTTTTTCTTGATATAATATCTTATACCGTAAAAAAATATAGAAAATTTGTGAATATTTATGTAGAAAGTGAATCACAATTATATGATTTAGTGAATATTTTTTGGAAGAAAGTGAATAAAAAATGGAGGGAAATAAACAGCACCAAGAAGTGACACGTGTCATTCCTGGTGTCTGTTTTAATATTGTGTTATTGATTGATACTTCGTACTTACTAAGTATATTGGTAAGAGATTTACATCAATCAAATAATAGGCAGAGTAAGTGAAAATTATAGATGTAATATACACTCGAATGTAGGGTGCATCCAAAGTTATTTTGCTCATTTGATGATTAAATGTACAATAAATATCAAAATGAGCACCAGAAACAATTAAAATTACTCTCTCAATCCATTGAATTTATCCCTTATTTCCTACGGAGTATCATTTTTAAATGTTGCAGTTAAAAAGATTTGAGGATTAAAGCATGTGATGAAAAGTTAAACAATTGACTCGTCCGTACAATCAATTAAGGTTCTTTTTTCAGCCAAAATATGATATCTTAATTGCACCTTCTTACAAGCGTACAACCGATTTACCAGATTGTAAAAGGTGAATATCTACTTCATACAATATACTAGTAATATATCGCAAAGGTAATACTTTGTATTATGATAACAGTTTATTAGCTATAATAAAGCTAATACATCAAATTTAGTAAACAAGCATATGCAAGGTAGTACAAATTTTTATTTTATTTTTTTGTAATTTTTGTCTAATATGGGAATTGAATTGTGATTGAGTCATTGAATATGTCAAAGATGGTAAACTATTGATTTCAAAACCTTTCAAAAAAAAAAAAAAAAAAAAAAAAATTGATTTAAAAAAAACAAAAAAAAATTATGTTAGCCTCTGTATTCATTGACAACCCTTAACCATCATATTTTTGCTAATTAAATCCCAAACATAGTTCAAAAATTTCTATCTAAAAAAAGCCATCATCAACCCAAAAAAATTGGCTAAAATTTTGGACATTTGCCTTAGTTTGCCATTTCCATTCATCAAAAATACACAAAACAACAACCAACATTTCACAAAGCAAAAATCACCTCCGATTTTCAAGAGTGAGAAGAAAAGAAAAAAAAAAAAACAGCAAAAATCTCCTTTTACTTTGATGTTTTTGAACAACTTTCCTTCAATTTCTCTTCCTTTTGTTCTGTTTTTTTTCTCCTAGTCTACCCCTTTACCCCCTCCTGGGTTAGGGGGAATGATGTTGGACAAGAAGAAAAAACCACTTACCCTTCATTCCTCCACCCAAACATTTATATCATCCTTACCAATCTCTTCTATGACAATATTCGCGCTCCTCCCCCTCGTTCTTCTCCTCTCCCTTCCCATCTCCACCCTCGCGACGACCCCTGCAGCTACCTTCAGCCCGAAAGATAACTTCTACATTGCTTGTGGAAGCAACGAAAAGATAAGCACCCCGGATGGAAAGACCTACGAATCTGACCAAGATGCTCATGGGTTCCTTTCCGCGGAGGACAAATACCTTGTTTCTGACCCTAATGCAAATGTACCTTCTAAGATATATTCTTCTGCTAGAGTTTTCTTAAAGGATGCAACCTACACGTTTACATTGCAGGACTCGGGTTGGCATTGGGTTCGCCTTCATTTCCTCCCCATTAAGACCGATGTTTTCAAGCTTGAGTCGGCTAGTTTCAATGTTTATACCAATGAAGTCACCCTACTTCATAGTTTTAGTGCCACCAACCTCACGATGAAGGAGTACCTCATCCATGTTAAGTCCCAAAGGTTTTCTATTAGGTTTGAGCCTCAGAAAAACTCGGCTGCTTTTATCAATGCCATTGAGGTGTCTACCGCGCCAGATAAGTTGATTGGTGATTCAGGCCAATCTTTATCTCCGGTGGGTCAGTTTCATGGCCTGAGTCATAGCTCACTCGAAACCATGTATCGAGTCAATGTGGGTGGAAGCCTAATCACAGCTGATAATGACACCCTTGGTAGAACATGGGTCAAAGATGATGGGTATATCAAGAACAAAAATATGGCCAAAGATGTCAATGTTCAAACCAATATCATCAAGTACCCTAACGGAGTCACCCCTTACATAGCCCCGCAAACGGTGTATGCCTCTGCAGCTGAAATGGCTGATGCTAACACCATGGAGCAGAGCTTCAACGTTTCGTGGGAGTTCCCGGTTGAAAAGTCTTACGATTACTTAGTAAGGCTACATTTTTGTGACATTGTTAGTACAGCCCTTAATGATTTGTATTTCAATGTCTACATTAATGGTAAAACTGCTATTTCTGCGTTAGATTTATCATCAATAACGGGTAAATTAGCCACCCCAAACTTCCAAGACATTGTTGTTGATTCTTCTTTGGTAGATCAAGATAAAGTCTCGGTTCAAATTGGACCGTCCACTCTTGATTCCGGTGCTAAAAACGCTATCCTCAACGGGGTCGAGGTGTTCAAGATGAACAACACGGTAAGTAGTTTGGATGGGGAGTTTGGTCCGGATGGAAAAGCTGCTTTTGCAGGCAAACATAAGAAAACAGTCGCTGCAGTCGGGTTTGCTATGATGTTTGGAGCCTTTGTCGGGTTGGGAGCGATGGTGATCAAGTGGCATAAGAGGCCTCAGGATTGGCAAAGGAGAAACAGCTTCTCCTCCTGGTTACTTCCTCTTCATGCAGGGGACTCAACTGTCTTTGGTAAGAGTAATTATGGGTCTAATAAAAGTAGTATCTTCACCACTGGTGGCCTTGGCCGTAGGTTCACTTTCGACGAGATTAAGGAATCCACCAAAAACTTTGCAGCCAGTGGTGTCATTGGTGTTGGAGGATTTGGTAATGTCTACATTGGAACGTTGGATGGCACCCAGGTTAATCGCCTTAAACTGCTAGCACCAGTATTAAGTTTTTGGTTACAATGTTGTTTAAAGTAAACTTTGAATGAACTTTTCAATACTGCACTGATTTAATTGATACAAACAAAACAGATCTTTACTAATCAAAAACTTAACAAGTCAAACTAACATTTATAAGGAAAATAAGAACATGCCTTTATAACGGTGTGTGGACATTGACATTGATCTCTCAATCATGAACAGGTAGCAGTCAAGCGAGGCAACCCTCATTCAGAGCAAGGTATCAACGAATTCATGACCGAAATACAGATGTTGTCCAAGCTTCGCCACAAGCACTTGGTGTCTTTGATAGGGTATTGTGACGAGAATAGTGAGATGATCCTGGTGTACGAGTACATGTCCAATGGACCTTTACGCGACCACCTCTATGGAAAGAACATGCCTCCATTATCTTGGAAGCAAAGACTCGAGATCAGCATTGGAGCAGCTCGTGGACTTCACTACCTCCACACAGGGTCAGCCCAAGGGATCATCCACCGAGATGTCAAGACAACAAACATTCTCCTTGACGAAAACTTTGTCGCAAAGATGGCAGACTTTGGACTATCCAAGGATGGTCCAGGCCAACAAGCAGATCATGTCAGCACTGCAGTAAAGGGTAGTTTCGGGTATCTTGATCCAGAGTATTTCAGGAAACAACAGCTTACTGACAAATCAGATGTGTACTCATTCGGAGTAGTCTTGCTCGAGGTTTTATGTGCTCGTCCTGCCATCAACCCAGCCCTATCTAGAGAACAAGTGAACCTTGCAGAATGGGCAATGAATTGCAAGAGGAAGGGAATGCTGGAAAAAATCCTTGATCCTGTCTTAGTTGGATCGATAAACCCAGAATCGATGAAGAAATTTGCTGAGGCAGCTGAGAAATGTTTGGCTGAGTATGGGTGTGACAGGCCTACAATGGGTGATGTGCTATGGAACCTGGAGTACGCCTTGCAAATTCAAGAGGCATCGGCGCAAGGAAAGACTGAAGATGCTTCTACAAACCTGAATTCTACTGCAGCTTCTGCACCTGTGGCAGTGGAACCAAGCGCTATCATTCCTGAGCAGACACAAGCCATCGATGAACAATCTGGAACTGCTCTACTTGCCCAATTTAGCAACCTCAGTGGAAGATGAAAAAAAAAATCTATTAATTTTTGGAAAATTGCAAATCAATGCTCATGTACAGATGCTTTCGATGGTGATGATGGAGGTGGCTTTGTTTTTAACCGCTGTGTTTTCTCGTATGTCAAAACAAGTCAATGGTGTTATTTAGTGATGTTATTAGCTTGTTTTTGCCTAAAATGATTATTTCTCTCAAGCTCTGGCGCGCAGTGTAAACTTACTTGCAGATAATAACTTATTAATGTTTGTGTTTTCTTCATGGATTCATGTATATATGTCAGAGATGAGAGGCAATAGAAAATTTTTTTGCTTAGAAGGTTTCCATGTAAACTAGTAGTAACATTTTTTCAGCTGAATTAACTTTTTAGTTTCTATTCACTTCTTAGCTAATCACTTCAAATAGATTAAATCAGTACTGCAACTCTAAAAATTGGGCGTGCCCCAGTTCCTCTTCTTGAGAAACAGGGAGCGTTTCTCTAATGTCATTTATGAAATTATAAAGCATTGGGAATTGTAAAGTAATAATACTATAATGAAAGGAAGTGCTAACTGTAACATTCACTCAAGATGTGGACCGGTTTAGACAGTGTGAAATGGTGAATTTACTGTTGTTAACGTTGTTCTTCAACATCCATCCAATTTATGGTTACAACCAAAGTTACTCCATCAAACAAGTGCGAATTGCCATTTTTTCCGTCATCATTTTGCTCGCAAACCACCATCACCTTCGTTGCCCCTATCTTCTTCACTCTCCTTCGCCTTTTCGACGGCTTCGCCACCGAATCAAAACGAAAAACCCTAAAAAAATTGGAGAAATTGTGGCATGGTTAACCCTTAAGGGCAAGGTTTGTCTTCCTCTTCCATTGAGGTTGTTCATGCATTCCAATTTCTGTATTGAAGGTTTTGGTTTCCTTTAAGGGAGGTGAGAGAATGGAGGAAGAAGAACCCATGGACGTTGGTGGCGCAAACGACTTTGTCTTGCATTGATGGTGAGGTGGATAGAGAAAAGAGCGGAGAATCAAGGAAGGAGAGAGAATTTGGTGATGGTGGTATTTCCATGGAGGAAAGGGGTGCTGGGTTAGGATGAGGAGAGAGGAGATTTGAGGAGAGAGAAAGTGAGGATGTTTGGAGTAATTCCGTGAAGTGAATACCTTACGTCCTTACCCCAATTCACCGCCTGTTAACCCCGTTACCCAACTTGACCATGTGATAATTGACAGATATACAAAATGACCAAAGTACCCCCAATTTCCAACGTAAAATACAAATTTAGCCCCTTGAGATACATTCCACGTTCATCAAGAAGAGAAACTTGGAATTACCCTAAAAAAATTATCCATATTACAAAAATTCAATCAATTAAAATTCAAAAATCACTTGCTATACTTTGAAAAGATACTCAATAATAGATATCAAGTACAAAGTAAACACTTATAGCTTATCAGATTTTAGTGACTTACGATTGCTGTGAGCTTCTGTGAAAGATTATCACCATTTTACGACTTCCATATCTTTAGACCTCATTTCAGACAGCATACATCATAATTATCCTTATTTTCTTTTATGAAAATACACTTAAAAAAAATTGTAAGATTACAACTTCAATGCCGTATACCACACCGCCGTTTGATCTATTGGTCCAATATCAGTTATATAGTCATACTTCAAGAACAAAATCTAAAACCTTGAGGCATTTTGATAAATTGATCTATTGGTCCAATATCAGTTTAAAGTCACACTAGCTAATTAAATTAATAAATTACATGTATATACTCGCATACATACTAACCGATGATGATTTCTTACTTACCAGCCATTAGAGTTATTGGGTATGGATGTGTGTGTATTGCTCTAAGACATTAACTAAAGAACAAGCGACTATGTACCTAGTGCAAGGAGCTGTACGGCTGAGGATCAAGAGATTGAATTTCCACCACAACGGAGTAAAGAAGGCTTTGGATGCCAAGGCTAATGACATTATGGCACCTTAGCTTGGTACTCCATGTCTATCTAAGCTAATTTAATAAGGAAGATGAGTTACTAGAAGTCCTTTCCACATCTTTTTTTTTGCAGGAAAAATTAGGTAGGTATTTTATTATAAATCTTACCACGTCCTTTTAATCAACATGGCTTGTAGTTGTCTTTATTTTACTTTCGTTGTGTCGAAAATCTCAATCATTTAGGGGGTGTTTGGTATGTGGGAATCGGGGCTTGGGAATGGGAATGGGGATTGAGGAGGTGGGAGTATATATTGTCTTGTTTGTTTTGTGAGAAGGGGAATTGTAGATGGGATTGGAAATGGGAATAAAAATGTCCTATTCTTATGAATTTATTACCTAGGGCAAGTAATGAAATCATATGAATATAACTATAGTAAGGGTGTTATTGTAAATTTGATATTTATTTCCAAACAAGGGATTATCAACATTTTATTGAATTCTCAACCGTAAATACCCAATCCCATTCCCGACGCTCTAATTCTCAAACTCTCATTCCCACTTACCAAACGCCTCGTAAGGACATTTATCCATCGAGGGAGGCCGAAGGGATAGGAATTAAGGGTACATGCATACATCAAATACCAGGGGCGGAGCTAGAAGGGGACGAGTGGGGACACTTGTCCCCCCATTTTCAAAAAAAAAATTAAAAAAAAAAATTTAAAAAAAAAAAACAAAAAAACGCAATTACAGAGTGCTCTGTGCGACATTTGCAGCCAAACCCTAAGTCTTTCAATTTTTAATTTCTCTCTCTTCGATTCACCCTCACCTCGCCAGAGTCGCCTGACGCTGTCCACCGTTCTCCGGCAGTTCGCAGCAGTGAGGCCAATGACGAGGTTCGACAGACGACAGCGCACAGCGGACAGCCTTCAATTCCGTTCGACAGTCACCAAAATTAAAAAACCAAAGTCCTGTCTGTCGCTCGGTCGCTGCCTGCCAAACCCCTCATCGTCGTCGGTCGTCCGTCAGTCGTCAGTCGCCGCCTCGGTCATCTTCTGGTCTTCGCTGCATCTAAAGGTATGTCTTAACTCTTAAATATATTAATTTGTTCTTCTAATTGAAAATTTGAAATCCCCAATTTGCAATTTTAATTGTTAACCCAATAACCCTTTCTTTCTCCCCATACTTTACTTATTTTCTGAGACTATATATTCTGAAAAGGGTATCGGAATTTGTGTCAAATATTGAAGGGGATTTGTTTTGGTCTTTAAATGGGGTTGGTGCTCCTGATTTGATCTTTATTTATGTGCCTGAAGGGTGCCGAGTTGATGCCCCTTTAAATTTGAGGTCTTTCTCACTGAAAGGGAGTGATGCCGAGTCGAATATGTTGCCGGTTTCGAACCCGAGAGTATTGGTGTTGATAGAAGGGAGGAGAGGTGGGTATAGTTGAGGTGTTTTTAGGTGGAGATGGTAACAAGTGTTATTGGACTAATTATGTTCTTGAGGTGATCATCGGTGAAGGAGTAACATTTAGCCATTTTTATGTACAAACACAATCTTTGGGAGCTGCCCATATTAAATGGACTTCCATTAGGCAAGTATATTTGGTTCTGCTTTTATTATGTTTTTGTTGATTAAGTGTCATTATGTGCAACACTTTAGATTTTGTGATATCCTTTGCTTATAATCCTGTTAGTGCATTATCATGTGATTGCTTATACTTCTATTCTTGTTGGTGCTTTGGTATATCAGGATTAAATACATTATAATGCAACTGTCTTCGCTTTTATATTATATCCATAATTTGTCCCCCCAATTTGAAAATCCTGGCTCCGCCAGTGTCAAATACATGGTGCCTCTAAAAAAGAGGTCGGCTTAAAAATAGCTAAAGATAGAGCAAAGAGCCATATACGTCTTAAGATATATCAATAGTTAAGCCATACACAGCCTCCGCCATCTGAAAATAAGGTGAATGCACATGCACAGGATTCAGAGGCTTAGAAACCCAATCCACTAAATTTATATTCTTTTATATTACCAATCTGACTATCCACTAATTTTTTTTTCTTTTATTTTTTCCAATCTAATTATTGAGCAACTTCAATTTATGACGTCTAAAATAAAAATATTCTTCTAAGTTCCAAACTCTTTTTCTCATCCACCAGCTTATATAGTATATTCATGCATCTCATCCACACATATAAATAGGTAGCAGAACTAGAGAAGGCTTTCCCCATCACCCCAACCCCAAAATCGATCCTTCTCTTGCAAAAAAATGGAGAATAAAACAACAAATGAAGATGTGTTTGACATGGATGCTCTGGAGATGAATCTTCCACAAAAGTAAGTAAAATCAAATATGGGCAGAGGTGATACAGGGATAGGTTAGGTTCAGAATGATTGGGGACGGGTAATATTTTATCATCGAGATGATTATGTTTAATTTAATCGATTATAATCGTATGAATTTTCGAGTTGGGTTCATGAAAAAGATAGGTCGTTTAAATCCATGTATTGTTTTGTCGGACATATTCATGTCTTTAATTAATGTATAGCTTCCTTTGTTTCAAAATAAATTTAATATTCAATTTTTGTTAAATTATTTAGTTATATCTAAATTTAGTTATATGTAAATAAATTATGAAACGCTAATACTTTGAAATTTACGAAGACTAACCTTAGAAGTTAAAATAATAAATAAATAAATAAATAAAAAATGTTGCTTTTATACTTAAAATAGAAGTATACAACTGAAGGATTCAAGCTCTTAATCTTAGAATTGTTTCTTGATTTGGTTAATAGGAGAGGGTTATCCCGATACTACTCGGAAAAATCAAGATCATTTGCATGTTTGGCGGATGTCCATACATTGGACGATTTGAAGAAACAAGATCATAGGAAGCCAAAGAAGCAGAAGAAGTACAAATATCAAGCAACACACAGCCTCCTATGCCTTGCATAGGCGTTTAAAAGCCCCTCCAAATGAAAATACGGCTTAGAATGTCACAAAAGATGTGACATTCTTTTCCTTCTTTTTTTGGTTAGATAATCAATATATGTTGGTCTTTGGTCAAAAACTTTTGTAAATACTAAAATAGGGATTAGAAAAATCAAAAAAGGCAGTTTTTCCATTTATAATAAATAATGAGATAAGCTAAGCAATGAATTTGAGATATTCTACTCTTGATTATGAAACACCCCTGAATGGCTGTACCCCCTCACTCTAATCTATCTCCGCAACTTCAAATTAACTGGCATTACGATAGTCACATACCTCCACACAATAGCATCCACCACAGAGGCACGATATAAGACCGGGGGCAAAAGAGGAAGAAATAAAAGCAAATCCAAGCATTGCAACAAGAATTAACCTGACTCCATGGACAGGTCTGATCTTGGAAGTGATGATATCTGATTCCGTGCACTAGAGATTGACGCAGCAACCGGTAGCTGAACTCCTACAAATGCACGGCGTCTAAGTTCCAGAAGGAAAGCAAAGAAAGCCATTTCATAAGCCATTCTTAGAAGCAAAGTGCAGAACGCTATCTGTATAGAACCTGAGTTTCTTGCATCACGTTTAAAACAAAAAAAAATGTAATTGCATAAACAGGTCAGTCTATACATCAACCATGTTGAATGAGGTTAGGAGACAGCCAACAAGAAACAGGAAATCCTGAGAAGAGTATATTGATATCCAAAATAGCTTGATAATCAACATAATAGCAAAAATTCAAGCGTCAGCTCATACAAGATTCCAATAGGTTCAGACAGTAGCAATGTGCATCAGTCAATAATTTACATAGAGACAAACCGCTAAATCCATTCTACACTACTAACCTTCAAAGACAATGACACAAAAGTAGACGGTTAAGAGTCAAAAGCTTGCAAGGCTAGACCTAACTCATGGTCAAATGCTAGGCGAATCTAATAGATCTCTAATGCAGTAAATTAGGATAAAATAGTTTTGGACAAAATGTCCAAAGCAATTTATACGAGTCTTTTCTTCTTGGCCATTTCAGAATTCAAATGGTCAAGTATGATAAGATCATCACCATCATCTTCCAAAATTACCTCTTTATTTTTGCACTTTGTATCATTTCCACATGAAGGATGAGAAACAGAGGAATTTGAAAGCTCAGAAAAGTTTCTTTTCTTGGATACTGCATTGACTTCAGTTTCCCCAATTTCTGCAATCTCTAAAGGCGCCGCTTGATCAGTACCTGTACCTGATGTGCTCTCACCATTCTGAGCAGAAGTTTTATTTTCTGTATCAGTTGGGACTTGCAACCAGCCAATGAGAACCATACCATCAGGCTCTTTTTCCTCATCAAAATCCTCCCTGCACAAAATGTAAAAAAAATGAATGGCATTACAGGCAATTTAGGAATACTTGGCTCCAGAAATATCACGCGGAAATATCCATCTTATTTCTTATTTTTATACAGTGAGACAATTCTAATGAAAATAGCTCAATTCAAAATGACATTTAAAACCGGAAAGGAACTCCGAGAAATCAAACATGATCCTCAGTTAACAACGAGAAATAGATGTATCAGTGACATAATAAGGAAACCAGCTAGCTGAGGAGAAAGTAAGCATGATAATTGGTTTACTACAGCAGGAAACAGGGGAGGTGGAGGAAAAGACGTCATCCCAAACCCCACATTCACAAGTTCCAATTGTCTCTTTTCCATCACAAACATAAGTATCAGAATTTTAGCTAAGCACCATTATAAACATTACCGCCATACATATCAAGCCCTCAGGCCCCATACTCTCACCTAACAGAGCCATACTCCCACAGTCCCACTGGCCCTGAATACTGATAACATTAGGATAAGTCATATAGAAGTATGCAATTTATTAACACGTGTTTCATCACAAGGCTAGTACTTATCACTAACACAAACATCGTCTATACATATTATATAGCACACTTATCTAGGAACATAAATTATTTATAGCTATTATGTCACTGAGATATATATAAAACAATAGAATCGCAAGTTCAGATGTCACCAATACATGAGGAGAAAAGGCAAATTTTATAAGAATTCAGCAGCTCTATTTGGTAGACCAACAAACATTGAATTCATACGGCAAACCTGTGACTTAAAGCAGTACACCTGATTGAATTATTTTCAGGCATTGACAGGTATACCCTTTTTTAAATCATAACCTATTGCAAATACCCCGCCCACTCTATCCCTCCCATATGGTTGTTATCTGTAAAGGACTTGAACCAAAAGTGCACCAGAACAACCATCTTTAACCCCCCCCCCCCAAAAAAAAAAAAAAAAGAAAAAAAACACACACACACACACACACACATATCCCCCATGTTTCCAGAAATTGAGTTGTTTTCTCGGTTTGGGTTAGCCTTTAAGAGTAAAACAAGCCAATCAAAAGCCCGTGCATATCCTTCATTTCAATTCATCAATCTTTCATTGCCATATTTCTGTTCTTAATCATCATCATTAAATTTGTCCACACTATCTCAACCATAAAAGCTTTCCAAGTGCAATTACATATAATTGTAAATGTTGGACATAATAAATATAACCAAATGAAAACCTTTGCTTTATGTTGATTTCACAGGACAATTGCTGGTGAAAATCCTCAACTGTGACGAGTGTACCACCAATGACTGGAGATGGTAGCTTGCAAAGCACCTGGAGGCAGCAAAAGTATGAGAGTCTCAAACAACACAATATACATGTTGATAAAGCTCAAACAAATAAGAGGAGCAACCACCTTCTCAAGATTTGCTTCATAATTCCGTATCTCGTCTTCATCAAGATCGTCACCAACTTCATATAACAAGGAAGTACCTTGCATTACTATAGGCAGGTTCATGCCCAACTTTGCTCGGACAATTTTCTCAATAAAATCCCGAAACTTTGTGCGTGAAGCATTAACCTCAAGTGTCAATGGGGTCTACAGAATAGCAATATGACAAAGAGGGAAAAGTCATTAAAGGAACTCCAACAGCAGATCAAGTGAAGTAGACAAAGACCAAAACCATTACCGTAGAACAGACAAAGCATGATTTGTTAGGCTCAAATGGCTCGACAGGCATAAGAAGCATCTTTCTTTTTGGATGCTCATTACAGAAAGTCATCCTGGGTTTAAATTTCAGGAAAACAAATAAATAAATAATAAAAACCAAGATCACAACTAGATACAGAGTCCATCACTTATGTAAGCTATATGCAATTTAAATAAATCACGGCAAATTAAACAAAATTAAACTAAATGTGGCAACTACAATTAAGAGGCATCCAGCTCAAAGCTCAAGCACTTCATAGATCTTCAGTTTAAAAAGATAAAAAAAAATTGAGGGATTTTGTTTAAAAACCACAATAATCTAATAAATTATAGCAGAGATAGGCACACAATGAAAGTGAAGATAAAAGCAATGAAAGTGAAGAGGGGATGGAGAGAGACAAGGAGAAATTAATAAAGCTTAACTGAAATAAAACATGAAATTTGTTGTGGAATTTCACATATCACATAATAGAAAAGTGTTATCCAAATTCTGATTTTCAACCTTCTAATATGAAATTAAAAGACAATAGATACCAAAGGATTCAGGACCGACCTCACATTTTCCAAGTCCTTGTTAAGCAGCTTAATGGCCTCAATAACAATCAACCCAGCAACTACAGCATTTGTTGTAGCCACTGCATGTACAATATTGCCAGCAATGCCTTTTGCTTCAAAGAGGCTATGCATAGGAATACCAAAAGAGGCAGCCCGTATATTTGCAGCAGCAGTGACAAACTCAACAGCTAACTGATCATCTTTATCAAAAGCCAAGCTCCCAATTTCCTGTTTAGAGCAATATCAGTAAATTAATACCCCAAAGCCAATCAGAATCATAGGCTGATCAAAATGACAGCTAGGGAGGGAGCAAAACCTTCTCTCTTTTCGAGAAAAATAGCTTTAAAGCTTCCAAAAAAACATTAGAGTTCTCTGCCAGGTTCCACACGTCTTGCGGATTCTTCAGCCCAAGTGTTGCCATTGCTGAGACTGAAGCTAGATCACCACTGGAACAACTTTGATCCAAGTTTCCATTTTGCTGGTTATCAGATAGAACATCTCTAGAATATATTGGCTTAGGCCTGGTGCGATTTTTCCAAGTCTCATCATTAGACAAAGCTAATTCAATGTTGTAGCCAAAAACATGATCATATATTCTCCTTCCATAGCAATCAGTATCTTCATCATTTTTGCGCTCAAATATGTCATCGACATGTTCTGAGGAGCTTGCACCATCACTTGAACGTACATTGAGATCATTATCCTGATTCTTATCACCAAACAACTTGGCGAAGAGCAAATCCTTGGCCCAAACAATACAGTGAACAAACTGCAAGCCAAAGTACAGAATGATATCACCAATACAAAGTCGAATGAGGTGAAGGCAATACAAAAGCACCAAATGGTTGTTAAGAAGCATATAACTACCTTTGATGGTGTATTAGTAATAGTACAAACAGGATATGATTTCGGAGCGGGCTTAGGATAGCATTCATAGCATTCAGTTATGTCCTTCACATGCACAGCTACCTGATTTTCCGGCCACAAAAAAAACAAAAAAAAAATTAAAGAAACTATTCAAATAATGCATTTACATAAGCTGTTGCACTGACATAAAATTATATTTACAGAGGATAAGAGTAGAAGAAAATTGTAGTTTTGTGGAAAGGAATCAAGAATTCAAGATAACCAATCTAGCTCTAGGACATACTTCTTTGCATTAAGGGTAGCTCCTGTCTGCAGTCTAATTTAAAAACTATCATCATTATTCAAAACCTCAACCAGGCAGTGAGGGAAGCTACTATGCAGTACAAAATTCTGACGAAGGTCACGCTTTCCCTTTCCAAAACTTAAAAACTCAAAAACCAAACTCAAGGGGAAACTTCATTTTCTACAACCACCTTTTTTCCCCCATAAGAATATTATATGTCAAACATGATCTCTCCTTTCTAAAATCTCTTTAACTAAATCTAACCATCTTTCATACCCTTTTTTAGTTGATAATGACAAAACAGTCTTAGATTTCTAAGTATATTAAGTGACCTATTGTATAAGATTTATAGTTTCCATATTGTAATTTGTTAAAAGTTTCCAACTCTCTGCATGTCTTTGTTTAAATTGTTTCTACAATTCCTATTTC